TTCCTGGACATGAAATACATAAATTAGAAGAAACCAGAGGGTGAATACTTCCCGGACATGAATACTGTTCAGCTTCTATCTTGAAGGTGTATTTCCATAAGACAGAACATGGCCATAAGTATTCAAAGGCAAACATAAACAGGCATTTGTGTTGGTAATTAGAATTAAAAAAGCTTTAAAAGTGCTTCTTCTGTGAATGTGTGCACAAAACATACCCATGCTTTGCACAAAACAGGTCACAATTCATTTGCTTTCATTTCTTTAACTTCTTCATTTGAGCAAGAGATTCTGGAATGCCAGTTCTCACCTATTCTCCCGTCTCAGCCGGTTAGGAGATGAAACAGGAGAACTGGGCTTTGGAGGTATTGGAGGGTGAACAGTTGGTTCCCTTTAAAACAGAAAACATCAGTTCATTTCACCATGGAAACATGGCAAATTTTAGCATCTATTAACTGAATATACTTATGGCCTATATGGAAATAACTCATGCGTCTTACACCCCCCCACCGCACCCCACCCCCCTGGCAAGAGGTAGCTGAAAGGCCAGAATCTATATAGCACTAAACTTTAGAGGAGTCATATATTTAAATTACTGGTATTTTCAAAGTTACTTAAGCAGGTTTTTGGAAACCCTATCCTCTTTTACTATAGTTTGAAATATAATGTGTTCTTTTAAAAGCTTAATATTTTGCTAGACTATCTAGCTCAAGCTGTGGCATTTTGGGTCAGCAGCGCGTGAGCATAGTAAATGGTTCTTGGGCATTAACATATAATCTTCTTTAAGAATTATGGCAACCATCAGGCTGCTACGGAAACAGCAAGAAAGGTTTTCAGTTTTATAGACCTCAAGATAAAGTTGATTTGAAGCTTTTAACTAAATCTGACTTAAATATTGGCAGCACAGGCTAGTTTGCTGCTTGCAAAGCATGTATATGCTGTCAGCCTAAACTTTCCAACCAAGAGCCAAGGCAGCCTCTGAGCCAGCATGATTTGATAACCTATGAATGACAGACAGGCATCATTTGGATGTCCATCATTTGGATGGAGTCAACACCTTACCCGGGGCATGTCAGCCCTCCACCCCCACCACTACCACCCCAGTGGCTCCCTATTAAATCCCATACCTAATAAAAGTACACTTGTGGTCTAGACTCCAGGTACCCCTCTGGCTTCTGCAGCACACTAGGTGAGTATGGAAGCTCTGGAGTCCAGCTGTCTGAACTGCGTGCTGTGTGATAATGGATCAACCTGATACCATCTCTTCGTCTGTAATGACCTTTCTCATAGGATTGCTGGGGTGTTGTCAGGACTGAATTAGAGCATGCTTTTCTTTTTTTTTTTTAGATTTTTTTAAATTTATTTATTTGACAGAGAGATAGAGAGCACAAGTAGGCAGAGCGGCAGGCAGAGGGAAAGGGAGAAGCAGGCTCTCTGCTGAGCAGGGACCCCGATGCGGGTCTTGAACCCAGGACCCTGGGATCATGACCTGAGCCAAAGGCAGCCGCTTAACCAACTGAGGCACTCTACAAGGCACTCTACAAAGTGGATAATCTGGGCTCCATAAGCCACCCCCCGCATGTTTTGCTAGGAATTCTTGGGCAGCATCAGTGGCTCAGTTGAGGTTTGTGGTCATGGAATTAAAATAAAGCTAGCTGCCATTGTTTTCTCTTGCCACATTCAGCTGCTTAGGGGGCAGAAACAGGCAAAACAGAGAGTTGGATTTAACTAAGTTTATAATTCAGACAAGTGAGTGCAACGAAGAGAACGGTGGCGAAGGAGGGGAAGGGGGATGTGAGGAAGTGATGATAAGGAGGGACCGTGGGATCTGAGATGGATATGGAGGAAACAGAGGCTGTGAGGGGAGAGGGAATGTGAAAAGTCAGAGGTTTGGTGGTTGGCAGGGGCAAGGCTGAGAAACTTCCTGGGTTCAGAGGACTGGAGAGAGTCAGCTAAACGCAGTAGATAGAAAGTGGAAGCAGAATGGGAAGATTTTGAAATTTTGAAAATTTATGGTTACTCACAAGGGCAAGATCCATGGGTGGCTGAGGTAGGGCAAAAGAGGAGATCATTGGAGAGAAGATCAAGAAAGTGAGAAAGTCAGGGTAGGGAAGGATCCTCCACATGGATTTGGAAATCACCAAGCATTATGGCAGGAGACCCATGTGAGACAATGAGCCTGGTGCCAGAGTCTTCAAAGAGTGCAAGCGAGTGACTCCGAGACCTGCAGATGACTGCAATGAGGAAGAGAAGTTTCTGATGCCACAATTTCAAGGAAGATGGGGAAGTTTTAGGGAGGAGAAAGCTAATATTGGTAAGTGGTAGCAAAGAGGAGCAAACAGGACCTTTCTTCCTCCTCTGGACTCTGTGGAAGCAGAGTCCTCTGGGAGAGCCCACCAGAGGTGAGTGCCATTGGGTCAAAGAAGAGACTGCACAGCAGCTAGTTGCGATGATAATAGATGACACATCCAGGGAGTTACTGTGGAAGGTTTGAGTGGTTAGGCTACTGTTAGGTTGGGTCAAGCTCTGATAGACAGAGCTCTGTGGGGCTAGTCCAGATGACAAGCAATGATCAGACTGGGCTTCTCCTGGGAGATCCGTGGCCATAGGGTTGGAGGACATGATGCAATTAGTTCTAAATCTTTCTCCAAAGAGTGTGGTAGTGATTGGGTGATGGGCAGGCAGCAGAGCAGGGAGCATGGCGAGTCTCCTGGCTCTTGTGTGGACGGTGGCACCGAAGCCAGGAGAAGGGCCTGCAGAGCATTCAACCTCTGCCTGGCTCACAGTAAGTGCTCCCTCTATGTCTAGTGCTGCAGCTGGTGTTCCTCCACATGAGCCCCAATACTGGAGCTGTGCCAAAACTCTTGCACTCCTAACCACCCTCACCATCATATGCTCTCTGCTCTCTGGCCTACGTGCTTCTCCCTTTCCCCTGGAATACTTCCTCCTTGGTTACTTCCTCCCTGCCCCTCAGACCTGGCTTGGGTGTTACTGTCTGTGGTGGTATCCAAAGCTGTGCTCCATACATTCCTATGTCTCCCCATAGCACACCCTCTTTATGGACCATATCACACTGTTCTGGATTACACATAATTTTCTGTCTCCATATTGGGCTGAAAGCTCCTAGAAGGATAGTTATATCCCAAGTACTAGGACTGTGTAGAATATTGGTGCCCAATAAAGATGTGTTGAAAGAGGGAGTGATTGGCTGGATTTCTACTTGGTGGGGAAGGAAATGAGTACTGAAGAGGGTCCTGAAACTTATAAAATCTGTTCAAATCTAGCTGTCCCACTGGAGAACTTTACTGTTAATTCCACTATTAACAGTACTGAGTAGGTGCCAGGAGCTCAGATGAGTTATGGTGTTATATGATATGCCTGGAAAACAATTTACATAAGAACATTCTCCCCGTTCTGGTTTAGTGTTAGATTTTACAACTAAATATTATTTTATTGGAACTACCATCATCTTCTCTTCTCAAAAAATATCCCTGTGTTGGGGATAATGGGAAATCACAAGTGATAATGTGTCTTTCGTGTATCTGGGTGGATTAGCTGATTATACACTTTTCTTCCAGGGATAGAGGAAAGGGGTAAAAGGGTGGTCAATCCTGGCTAGTAAGTCTGCACAGGGCACTGGATATCTGAGAATAGGCAGGAGAGAGGTAACAAGATGGAAAGGAGGATTACAAAAATGAGAAATAGGATGGCGTCAAACTTTGCTCATGCCAGAGTCACACTGAGGAAAAGCTACATTTCTTCCATGTTACAATGGCTAAGCCCTCAGAGAGGTGGGTAAATACTGACTGGGTGTATCTGGGAAAGAGGTACAGGTAGAGAAGTAGATCTGGGTACACAGTGTGGATATGGTTTGGGATGACCCAGAAAGTAAAGATGGGCGTGCAGTTGCGCAGGCCAAGAGAAGCAGAGGAGCATATTTATTTCCGAGGGTGCTGCATTTAGACCCCCGCTGGGCCAGGGCTAGGCAATGCCACATTGACTTCAATTCACCTCAAAGGAGTTTTCATTTGCATCTCTGCAATGACAGCCACAGATGACAGAACCCAAGCCCTTAGGGGCAATGAGAGAAGTCATTCATGCCATGCCAGGAGCTTGATGAAATGCCAAGCAGGGGGATTAAAATGCAAGAGCGAGGCAGGAAGCTGTGGTCCGGAATGTTTTGAAGAGAAGGAAACAAGGGACATGGATGTGGAATGATCCTGTTTGAATACCACTTTGAGATGCAATGTTTAAGCCTGGCTAAGTTGACCCCTGGCTCTACCCTCCGTCTTTCCCTCAAGCCCCCAAGACCTTTGCAGGATTGACGCCACCACATTAGTGGCTATGACTGTAAAGAATAACTTTCAGGAATAAAAAGGCAGTTTTCACAAGAAATGGGAAAACTTGCAGATAATAGCCCAAAGGCCAGAGCTAATAGAAATAACCCTGTGAAGTGGTTTATGTTACTTTATTCTCACGTGCTGCTACAAAGATCACTTCTTTCCATTATAGCTTTTTTGCACAACATGCCTGGCTCTGTGAATTCTGTTTGACTGCCTTTGTGAAGAGCATTTCATTACTGCAGCACACGCCCAGGTTGAAACAAGAATAATTGACTCTAACATTTAACTCTGAGTTTTGTTTTCACTTTCCATCACACTTAGCCCTTGTTTCCCACACGCAGAATTTTTAACAACAACGACAAAGGAGATGGAACTTACATTTTTTTAGTTTCAGTACCATGCTAACTTTGCCAAGCTCTCACAAACATTATTTTAGTCCATCCATACATCTATCCCATGGAGATGTTTTTTTCAATGAGTCAAAAAGGTTGAGTAATTTTCCCTACATCATGGTGCTAGTAAGTAGCTCAGCCAGGGTTTCAACTTCGTTTTTCTGATGTTGAATCTCATGTGCTTTCTCCTATATCCTACTGCATCAAACCAATACTCTTCCCGGTATTCCCAGTGAAAATCTAATAATGATAGGTTATCCTGGATTGTTTCCTTGCCCAAGGACAGCATCATTAGCCCAACAGGCACTTATACCACAAAGGCCCCAGGTATAATGTTAGGACACATAGCAATGCAGAGCAAAATTGGGTGTTCAAAAACTAGAAAAGATGTGGTCTCTGCTCTCAACGAGCTTATTGAATGCAAGGCAAATGTTCAAAAGAATGATTACTGTAATGAAGTCTCACTTCATAGTGGCCATTTCAATAAACCATAACACAACAATAGAGCATGCACTGGACCCAAATTCCAGAGACCTAGGTTCTAGACTAGCTTTGCCACCAACTAGAAAGAGAGCTGACTCTCTGAACCTCCGCTTCTTTATAAAAGGAGAAGATTGGTCCAGGTCTGTGGCTGGCAAACCATTACATGACTGTGG